GTTACGCTGTTAGGCTGTTAGACTGTTAGGCTGTTAGGCTGTTACGCTGTTACGATGTTGGGTGTTAGGCTGTTAGGCTGTTAGGCTGTTAGGCTTTTAGGCTGTTAGGCTGTTAGGCTGTTAGGCTGTTAGGCAATTAGGCTGTTAGGCTGTTACGCTGTTAGGCTGTTAGGCAGTTAGGCGGTTAGGCTGTTAGGCTGTTACGCTGTTAAGCTGTTACGCTGTTAGGCTGTTAGGCTGTTAGGCTGTTACGCTGTTAGGCTATTAGGCTGTTAGGTTGTTACGCTGTTAGGCTGTTAGGCTGTTAGGCGGTTAGGCTGTTAGGCTGTTAGGCTGTTAGGCTCTTACGCTGTTACGCTGTTAGGCTGTTAGGCTGTTACGCTGTTAGGCTGTTACGCTGTTAGGCTGTTAGGCTGTTAGGCTGTTACCCTGTTACGCTGTTAGGCTGTTAGGCTGTTAGGCTGTTACGCTGTTAGGCTGTTAGGCTGTTAGGCGGTTAGGCTGTTAGGCTGTTAGGCTGTTAGGCTGTTAGGTTGTTAGGCTGTTAGGCTGTTAGGCTCTTACGCTGTTAGGCTGTTACGCTGTTAGGCTGTTACGCTATTAGGCTGTTAGGTTGTTACGCTGTTAGGCTGTTAGGCTGTTACGCTGTTAGGCTGTTACGCTGTTAGGCTGTTAGGCTGTTAGGCTGTTAGGCTGTTAGGCGGTTAGGTTGTTAGGCTGTTACGCTGTTAGGCTGTTAGGCTGTTAGGCTTTTGTCTGTTACGCTGTTACGATGTTAGGCTGTTAGGCTGTTACGCTATTAGGCTGTTAGGCTGTTAGGCTGTTAGGCTGTTATGCTGTTAAGCGGTTAGGCTGTTAGGCTGTTAGGCTGTTACGCTGTTAGGCTGTTAGGTTGTTAGGCTGTTAGGCTGTTACCCTGTTACGCTGTTAGGCTCTTAGGCTGTTAGGCTGTTAGGCTGTTAGGCTGTTACGCTGTTAGGCTGTTACGCTGTTAAGCGGTTAGGCTGTTACGCTGTTAGGCTGTTAGGCTGTTACGCTGTTAAGCGGTTAGGCTGTTAGGCTGTTAGGCTGTTAGGATTTTACGCTGTTACGCTGTTAGGCTGTTACGCTGTTAGGCTGTTACACCGTTACGCTGTTACTCTCTTACGCTGTTAGGCTGTTACGCTGTTAGGCTGTTACGCTGTTACGCTGTTAGGCTGTTAGACTGTTAGGCTGTTAGGCTGTTACGCTGTTACGATGTTGGGTGTTAAGCTGTTAGGCTGTTAGGCTGTTAGGCTTTTAGGCTGTTAGGCTGTTAGGCTGTTAGGCTGTTAGGCAATTAGGCTGTTAGGCTGTTACGCTGTTAGGCTGTTAGGCAGTTAGGCGGTTAGGCTGTTAGGCTGTTACGCTGTTAAGCTGTTACGCTGTTAGGCTGTTAGGCTGTTAGGCTGTTACGCTGTTAGGCTATTAGGCTGTTAGGTTGTTACGCTGTTAGGCTGTTAGGCTGTTAGGCGGTTAGGCTGTTAGGCTGTTAGGCTGTTAGGCTCTTACGCTGTTACGCTGTTAGGCTGTTAGGCTGTTACGCTGTTAGGCTGTTACGCTGTTAGGCTGTTAGGCTGTTAGGCTGTTACCCTGTTACGCTGTTAGGCTGTTAGGCTGTTAGGCTGTTACGCTGTTAGGCTGTTAGGCTGTTAGGCGGTTAGGCTGTTAGGCTGTTAGGCTGTTAGGCTGTTAGGTTGTTAGGCTGTTAGGCTGTTAGGCTCTTACGCTGTTAGGCTGTTACGCTGTTAGGCTGTTACGCTATTAGGCTGTTAGGTTGTTACGCTGTTAGGCTGTTAGGCTGTTACGCTGTTAGGCTGTTAGGCTGTTTTGCTGTTAGGCTGTTACGCTGTTAGGCTGTTAGGCTGTTAGGCTGTTAGGCGGTTAGGCTGTTAGGCTGTTAGGCTGTTAGGCTGTTAGGCTGTTAGGCTGTTAGTCTGTTACGCTGTTACGCTGTTAGGCTGTTAGGCTGTTACGCTGTTAGGCTGTTAGGCTGTTAGGCTGTTACGCTGTTAAGCGGTTAGGCTGTTAGGCTGTTAGGCTGTTACGCTGTTAGGCTGTTAGGTTGTTAGGCTGTTAGGCTGTTACCCTGTTACGCTGTTAGGCTCTTAGGCTGTTAGGCTCTTAGGGTGTTAGGCTGTTACGCTGTTAGGCTGTTACGCTGTTAAGCGGTTAGGCTGTTACGCTGTTAGGCTGTTAGGCTGTTACGCTGTTAAGCGGTTAGGCTGTTAGGTTGTTAGGCTGTTACGATTTTACGCTGTTACGCTGTTAGGCTGTTACGCTGTTAGGCTGTTACGCCGTTACGCTGTTACTCTCTTACGCTGTTAGGCTGTTACGCTGTTAGGCTGTTAGAGTGTTAGGCTGTTAGGCTGTTACGCTGTTACGCTGTTGGCTGTTAGGCTGTTAGGCTGTTACGCTGTTACGCTGTTAGGCTGTTAAGCTGTTAGGTTGTTACGCTGTTAGGCTGTTACACTGTAATGCTGTTAGGCTGTTAGGCTGTTACGCTGTTAGGCTGTTAGGCTGTTAGGCTGTTAGGTTGTTACGCTGTTAGGCTGTTAGGCTGTTACGCTGTTAGGCTGTTAGGCTGTTAGGCTGTTACGCTGTTACGCTGTTACTCTGTTACGCTGTTACGCTGGCTGTTACGCTGTTGCACTGTTAGGCTGTTAGGCTGTTAGGCTGTTACGCTGTTAGGCTGTTACGCTGTTAGGCTGTTACGCTGTTAGGCTGTTAGGCTGTTAGGCTGTTAGGCGGTTAGGCGGTTAGGCTGTTAGGCTGTTAGGCTGTTAGGCTAGGTTGTTAGTCTGTTACGCTGTTACGCTGTTAGGCTGTTAGGCTGTTACGCTGTTAGGCTGTTAGGCTGTTAGGCTGTTAGGCTGTTATGCTGTTAAGCGGTTAGGCTGTTAGGCTGTTAGGCTGTTAGGCTGTTACGCTGTTAGGCTGTTAGGTTGTTAGGCTGTTAGGCTGTTACCCTATTACGCTGTTAGGCTCTTAGGCTGTTAGGCTGTTAGGCTGTTACGCTGTTAGGCTGTTACGCTGTTAAGCGGTTAGGCTGTTACGCTGTTAGGCTGTTAGGCTGTTACGCTGTTAAGCGGTTAGGCTGTTAGGCTGTTAGGATTTTACGCTGTTATGCTGTTAGGCTGTTACGCTGTTAGGCTGTTACGCCGTTACGCTGTTACTCTCTTACGCTGTTAGGCTGTTACGCTGTTAGGCTGTTACGCTGTTACGCTGTTGGCTGTTAGGCTGTTAGGCTGTTACGCTGTTACGCTGTTAGGCTGTTAAGCTGTTAGGCTGTTACGCTGTTAGGCTGTTAGGCTGTTAGGCTGTTAGCTGTTACGCTGTAAGGCTGTTAGGCTGTTAGGCTGTTACGCTGTTAGGCTGTTAGGCTGTTAGGCTGTTACGCTGTTAGGCTGTTAGGTTGTTAGGCTGTTAGGCTGTTACCCTGTTACGCTGTTAGGCTCTTAGGCTGTTAGGCTGTTAGGCTGTTACGCTGTTAGGCTGTTACGCTGTTAAGCGGTTAGGCTGTTACGCTGTTAGGCTGTTAAGCTGTTACGCTGTTAAGCGGTTAGGCTGTTAGGCTGTTAGGCTGTTAGGATTTTACGCTGTTACGATGTTAGGCTGTTACGCTGTTAGGCTGTTTCGCCGTTACGCTGTTACTCTCTTACGCTGTTAGGCTGTTACGCTGTTAGGCTGTTACGCTGTTACGTTGTTAGGCTGTTAGACTGTTAGGCTGTTACGCTGTTACGCTGTTAGGCTGTTAAGCTGTTAGGCTGTTACGCTGTTAGGCTGTTAGGCTGTTAGGCTGTTAGGATGTTAGGCTGTTAGGCTGTTACGCTGTAAGGCTGTTAGGCTGTTAGGCTGTTAGGCTGTTACGCTGTTAGGCTGTTAGGCTGTTAGGCTGTTAGGTTGTTACGCTGTTAGGCTGTTTGGCTGTTACGCTGTTACTCTGTTACGCTGTTACGCTGGCTGTTACGCTGTTGCATTGTTGGGCTGTTAGGCTGTTAGGCTATTAGGCTGTTACGCTGTTAGGCTGTTAGGCTGTTACCAGGAGACTCGCGATCGCTGCATTCAGCAGTGGGCTTTCTCCGAGGATGCACCGTGGGTTCACCCCACCCAGCGCCGAAGTCAATCTAGTCAACCGAGTCAACCCTGCTATACCCTCCCGCCACCCACCAGGTGACTCGCGATCGCTGCCTCCAGCAGTGGGCCTTCTCTGATGATGTACTGTGGGCCCACCCCACCCATCACCAAAGTCAACTCAGTCAACTGAGTCAACCCTGCACGCCTTCTCCTCACCGTCATACCCACCCTGCACATGCGCGCACCAGGTGACTCGCGATCGCTGCATCCAGCAGTGGGCTTTCTCCGAGGATGCACCGTCGGTCCGCCCCTCCCAGCAGCAAAGTCAATCTAGTCAACCGAGTATCGGGTTTAGGGTCAACCGAATGAGGGAGCTTTGTTGGCCGCGGAGCCGGGCGACAGGGAAGACTGTGCAGCCGGAGGGGAGGAGGCAGCTGGAAACACAGAAGCAGCAGCAGCGGTGGGAGGAGAAGTGGAAGGAGAAGAAGTCGAAGAAGCAGGAAGAGGAGAAGCAGCGGCAGGAGAAGCGTTCAATCTGAATCTGGGTTCGGGATACCCTGGAGGTGAGAGGGAGAGAGGGCGGGAGAGGAAGGGGATGCGGAAAGAATTGTGCAGGAAACGGAGTGGAAAGAGGAATGGGTAGAGGAGAGAAGGGTTGGAAAGGGAGGTGATGTGGATTGCTGGATAAGCCACCTTGTTTCTCCACACAACCTCTCTCTATCCCTCCCCTTCGCCTTTTGCGCCCACCCCTTTCCCTCCTCTTCCCTCTCTCCCATCGCCCCCCTCCCCCTTCCGACCCCGCCCTTCCACCTTCTCCGTCTTCCCTTTTGTTTCCTGCTCTTCCCCCTCTCCCCCCCCTCCTCCGCCCCCCTCCCCCGACTCCCCCCAGATCCCGCCACCAAGGCATGGCTAGCGGGCAGTGTGGATGCGGTCTTTGGCTTCCCCTCCCTCGTGCGCTTCACCTGGGCCACCGCCAAAACCACACGTCCCTTCTTCCCCTTTCCTTCCCCTCACCCCGCTATTCCCCCCTAGACCCTGCAACGAAGGCGTGGCTAGCAGGCAGTGTGGACGCGGTGTTTGGCTTCCCCTCCCTCGTGCGCTTCAGCTGGGCCACCGCCAAGACCATCATGGATGCCTCTTGCGTGCTCCCCTTGCCCCTCCTTCCCCCCCTATGCCCCCCAGACCCCGCCAGAAAGGCATGGCTGGCGGGCAGTGTGGACCCGGTCTTTGGCTTCCCCTCCCTCGTGCGCTTCAGCTGGGCCACAGCCAAAACTATCATGGATATGTCTCGCATGCCACCCTCTCGCCTCCCTCCCCCTATTACCCCACAGACCCTGCAACAAAGGCATGGCTGGCAGGCAGTGTCGACCCGGTCTTTGGCTTCCCCTCTCTCGTGCGCTTCAGCTGGGCCACCGCCAAAACTATCATGGACTCCTCTTGCGTGCCTGTGCACTGGTACGCACACAAGCAATTATGTTACGCTACATAACAAAGTCTTTTGTAAAAAACGTTTGGCTAGAAGCTAGCTTTTGGTGCTGAATTTTCTGTGCTTTCTTTTCATTGCAGGGAGGCGGATGAAGCTGAGGAGGGGCAGGCGTGGGCGGTCAAGCAATCGAGCCCCGCAGCTTCTGTCCCTGGCTCTGCTCCTTCCAAGCGCAAACGGAAGAATGTGCGTATTGAGTCTGTGGCACAGAAAAGGCACTCGTTCTTCCGGGCTCGCAAACTGCAGCTTGTCACCACCAGCTTGTAAATGTTGCATGTAGAAATAAGTCAAATCATGTGATTTCTTGAAAGTGTGTAGCAACTATAATACTGAGTGTTATGAGTTGTAAAAGAGAGTGCACATGTAAACGAATAACGAGACTGTGATTAACTGATCTGAGAATACAATGAAGGCATAGACTAATGTAGGGGCTAGCCTAGCTAGGAGGGAACCTCAGACGAGCGAGGTTGGGTGCAGGTTTGGCGATTGGGCAATGCCGAAGGCGACGCGAGGAGCCTCGGCAGCGTTGAAATCGGCCGAACGTGCGAAGTCCGAAAATCGGGCTGTACGCGAAGCAGTCAACCCCGATAAGGAATTCGGGAAAATTCCTTACACTACCCCCCCCCCCTTAAGAAAGGTGGTCAATGTCCGAAACACGCCTGCGCGCCAAGTAATCACCAATAAGTGACGAGGCGTCCAACGAGGCGGAGTGCACCCACGTGTCGTCTTCACTGGTGCGATCAGTCCAACGGACTAGGAAATCCACGTGGCGACCAGCTGCGTCAAGGCGAACCCGATGTGCCAAAATCTTTGACGGGTCAAGACTCGGCTCCGGGATAGGTCGTGCAGTTGGGGCAGCTTGTTGCCTCGCGATGTCGGTCGTGGCTGGCACGAATTTGCGAAGCAGGCTGACGTGGAAGGCGTCATGAATGCGCCAGTCGTCGGGTAGCAGCAGCTTCGCGGTGACAGGTGTCACCATCTTGATAATCTTGAATGGCCCACAAAATCGTGGCCGTAGTTTCGACGGGCCGGGCGGGTGCAGGTTCTTTGTGTCAAGTAGCACTAGTTGCCCAGTGGTCAAGACGAGTTCCTGGCGTAGAAGGTCGGTGTATTTTCGGGAAGTGATATTCGCCTTGCGAATTGCGTCTGCGGCTTTTTCACGGACTTCCTGAAGCTCTGTCACAAAAGTTTGTGACCTCGGGACCGGGTTGTCGAGAGTAGTTGCCGTAGGCACCGTCGGGTCCATCCCGTAATTCAGGAAGAATGGGGAGTGATTAGTCGTACTGGACGGGGCGTTGTTGAAGGTGAACTCCAACATGGCGAGTGATTCTTCCCAGCGGGCAGGGTCGGGGCAGTTTGTCCTGATCAGCTGCTCGATGGTCTGATTGGTCCGCTCGGTCTGGCCGTCCGTCTGTGGATGATATGCCGATGAGAACTGTAGTTTCGTGCCGTACTGCGCCCACGTCTCCTTCCAGAATTTCGATGTAAACTTCGGGTCGCGGTCGCTGATGATCGCTGAAGGGATGCCGTGCAGTCGCACGACCGTTGAGATGAAGAGGCGCGCAGTTCCTTCGGCTGTGATTGTTGTTCGGCATGGGGCAAAGTGCGCCATCTTCGTGAAGCGATCGACGACGACGAGTACATCGTCGTTGCCGGACGGCCCAGCTGGCATCCCCGTGACAAAATCCATTGTCACTTGCTGCCACGGTCGTTCGGGTGGCTCGAGGGGTTGCAGCAGCCCAGCTGGTCGTTGACGTGTCGATTTCATGGCTTGGCACACCCTGCATGAGGACACATATCGTTGCACGTCGTTAGAGGAATCAGGCCAGTAATATTGACGGTGCAGTAATTTCTGGGTTTTGTCAACCCCGAAGTGTCCGGAGAAGTTCGAATCGTGGACCTCCTGGATAAGGAGTTCACGCAGCAGCCTGTAAGCGGGAACCCAAATCCGGTCGGTTCCGGCCTTTAGGTAATAATCCCCTTTCTGCGTCGTGGCCTGCTGATGATTTCCAGTCGTGAAGAATGGGTCCGTAGTGTAGCCGTGGGTGAATAGTTCGGTAAGTAATGGGTTCGAGTAGGTGATGAATACTGCAGCGGATTGTACTGTCGGTCGGGTCAGGGCGTCGGCGATGTTATTCGCCCCCTTTTTGTACGTGATGCGGTAGGTGAAGTGGCTCTCCATGTAGTCCAGCCACCGAATTTGTCGCGGGTTGAGGTTGGGCTGGGCTCGCATGTACTGTAGGGACTTGTGGTCCGTGCGAACAGTGACGTCGGCGCCCACCAGGTAGCAGCGCCACAGTTTGAACGCGTGTATTATGGTGAGCATCTCCTTGTCGTGGATCGGGTAGTTGCGTTCGGCTGCCTGCAGCTTGCGTTGGAGTAGCACAGCTCCGATGGCGAAATCAGAGGCGTCGGTGACGACTTCGAACGGCTTCGATGGGTCGGCGATGCGCAGCACAGGAGGGGAAACTAGAAAATTCTTGAGTTCCTAGAAAGCCGCTTCTGCCTCCTCCCCCCACACAAAATCTCTGTCCTTGTGCATTAGGTCAGTCAGCGGGCCGGTTATCCCCGCCATATTCGGGATAAACCGCCTGACGTAATTCACGAACCCCAGAAAACTCTGCAGTTCCGTGACGTTCGTCGGGGACTTCCACTCCTGTATGGTCTTGATTTTCGCCGGGTCGATTTTAATGCCTTCGCGTGATATGACGTGCCCCAAAAACTCCAACCCCTGCTTAAAAAACTCGCACTTAGCGCCCTTGGTGATGAGCCGGTTCTCCTGCAGCCGCTTAAACACTACATCCAGGTCGCGGAGGTGCTGCTCCCTTGTCTTGCTAAAAATCAGGATATCGTCCAAGTAGACGATGACACATCGGTCTAGAAGATCCCGAAAAACCCTGTTCATGGTGAGTTGAAATGTCGAAGGCGCGTTCGTGAGGCCGAACGGCATCACTGTAAATTCGTAACTCCCGTAGCGTGTGCGAAACGCAGTCTTGTGACAATCGTCGGCGAAGACTCGAATCTGGTTGTAACCGCCACGTAAGTCAATCTTCGAGAAATAGCGAGCGCCGCGAAGTTGGTCGAGGAGGTCGTCAGTGCGTGGGATTGGATAGCGAGACTTGATGGTGACCCGGTTCAGCGCGCGATAGTCGATGCACATGTGAAGCCCGCCGTCTTTCTTCGGAGTGAACAGGATCGGTGCTGCGAAGGGAGATGTGCTGGCCCGAATGAACCCTTTCTCCAACAGTGCGTCAATTTGACTTCGCAGCTCCTCGAGTTCCGGCTGGGTCAACCGCCATTGTGCCGAACAGTCGGCTGCGCGCCAGGTTCCAACTGGATTTTGTGGTCCTCAGGTCTCTCGGTGGCAGTCCAGGTGGCAGATCGTCGGGGAAAATGTCGGTGTACCTCCGAATCAGCTCCGCTAAATCCGGCGGTACAGCTGCACACAGCTTCTCGATGTCCTTTCCGTCGGTGTCAACCGCCAACTCGCGTAAGCAGACAGCGAACAGCTGCGCGCCCCTGTTGAAGTGGCGAGCTATAGTGACAGCTTTGACGCACGGGGCTTGGATGTAGTCAGGTGTCCATGCAGGCAGTTTAATTAGCCCCTCGTGCTTGTTGATGCTGCACGATCCCGTTGTCCAGTCGATGACAGGGTTGTGCCGTCGCAGCCAATCACGTCCCAGCAGCATGTCGCAGCCGTCCAGTGTTGTCGCGAGGAACTTCATGCTGAAGCCGAAATCGTCGCCGCATTCGATCCTGACCGTCCGTGTTTCTTCCGTTATCGCCAGAGGCGTCCCATCCACAAGGCGGGCGTCAATTTCGGGCAGACACCTGTCAAGTTGCAGCTTGCATTTTTTTGCGCTCGCCAAGTTGAAGAGGCTATGGCTGGCCCCTCCGTCGACGAACATTTTCAAGTTATTTTTAACACCTTGCCAGCGACCAGCACAGGGTGATCCACATGTGTATCCCCGTTATTCGGCCGAGTGCGATCGATTGCATGAATCGGAACCACGACTCGGTGGGGATGGTGGGGTTCGGGCGACGGAGCACAGTCAGTAAAGGGCCCGCTAATTACTGACTCTTCCCATTTCCCTGCTCCTTCCTGTCGTTCCCCGTCAGCGGCGTTTTTTCGTGGCAGTCTTTCATGTAGTGACCCGACTTCCCACACCGGTAACACGGTCCCTTAGGAGGGCGGTCGGGTGTGTGGACGGCGTTGATCGTGGCCCGATGGGTCTGGCCACGAAAGCGGTTTCCATCCCTGGAAGCTGCTCTCGCGTACTGCATCAGCGCGTCCGTAGATTCCGCCAGCCGTACTGCTTCAAGAAATGATGTCGGGCGGCCCCTGCGAACCTCGTATCGAATCTCGTACTTGAGGCCACTGATGTATTTATCTAACCGCTCTGCTTCCGACATGTCATCAACTTGGTCGGCTAGGCCCATGAACGACGCTGTGTAGTCTTGGACAGATGCCATCTGCGACCATGCACGCAGCTTCATGCGAGCTTGCTCCGAGGCGGATACGTGCTCGAAGCGATCTCGTAAGGCTGCGCCCCACTCCTTCCACGTGCGTATCTTGGTCACTCCGAAGATCGGTTCTGCCACTTGATTAGTCACTGTTGAGGTCCCGTCTGCCGCATGCGTCACACCTGTCGGCGTCCCCGTTTCCAAGGTTCGGCGCCACCACTCAAGCGCTGCACCTCGAAGAAGCGAAACCGCGTAATTAATACGCGTGGCGTCGTCATTAACTCCTGCTGCAGTGAAGAAGACCTCGACCCCGAACAACCACCCCTTTACTGTAACCGTCTTGTCCGTAGGATTAAACGGGGGCGGGTTGACGGGTTTTATCTTGATCGTCGTTACTGCAACTGGTGCTGCTGCCGCTCGCTGCCTATCTTCCTCTTCGAAGTCACGTGTGAGCGCGTCCAAGGGATTGCTCACCGCCTGACTGTTGCCCTCGCCTTCGTCCTCGGGCGACACCTGACGCGCTTCACCTCGCGTCTGGCGCAGTTCGGCGTTTTCTTCACGCAGTGTTGTCACTTCCGCCATTAACGATTTCATGCCCTCCTGTATCTCTGCCACTTGCGCCATCAACCTGTTAACCGCCTCCTGATCCATGTGCCTAGCGCTACGTCTGGTGGGCAATCGGGTATCCGTGGCCTTCAGGCAAGTGAAAACACGAACTATCGGAGTCGGGCAGGATTGAATTAACAATCCCTGCAGCCAACCGTCGTGTAGTCACTAAACCAGCCACACCCGTGCCACCAAACTACCCTCGGAAAAGCGGGGTGAACTAGGAAAGTATCTCTGATACCAGGTGTTATGAGTTGTAAAAGAGAGTGCGCAGGTAAACGAATAACGAGACTGTGATTAACTGATTTGAGAATACAATGAAGGCATAGACTAATGTAGGGGCTAGCCTAGCTAGAAGGGAACCTCGGACGAGCGAGGTTGGGTGCAGGTTTGGCGATTGGGCAATGCCGAAGGCGACGCGAGGAGCCTCGGTAGCGTTGAAGTCGGCCGAACGTGCGAAGTCCGAAAATCGGGCTGTATGCAAAGAAGTCAACCCCGATAAGGAATTCGGGAAAATTCCTTACACTGAGTTCATATTCCTCAGATCTCCGAGCTGTAACATAAATCTAGAATCGTCGGCCACGTTTCTCGCTTCTGAGCCGCCGCCGCGAGGGGCTCGAGGTCATCAAGTGACAAGTCAGGTCTGATGCACCAGCTCTCACACGCCATTGGTTGAATGGAAAAGGCGGATAGCCCCCCCAACGAAGGCTCGCGCCCAGCCGCAACAACCCCAACCACCCGGGTTTCCGCCTGAGCGCCTTCTCGCTCTTTTCCGTACAACTGGTGCACTTTCCGCAAAGGTTGCGTTCCGCTGACGACCGACGCGCGCGACACCCCCTACTGTACCGAGCGCCCTGCGCTTTGCGCCCCCCCGATCAGCTCGAGGTCAGCCCCCACCGACTGCGCCCGCGACCCCATCTGTTGGAGAACCTCGGGACCAGCTTGGCTCAAATCGGCTCAGATGCTTCCAGTCTGTCTTGAAACGGTTCGGCTCGGTTCAATACAGCAAGGTGGGTGGTTCCTGTCAATTCACTCGCGTTGATTGATTTGACCGTTGAGCGTCGCAGCTGGGTTTCTTTCTTCGAGCTCAAGAATAGCCGCAATTCCCTGAGCACTGCTCACTTCCCTAGGTTATGCTTTTGATATGAGTGTGGCCATCGCCAACAGCCGCTCAGGCCTGTCTCCTCAGGGAATTTCCAGCCGTACGTGGAAGGATTACTGTCCGGGCTTTTCTTCCGAAGGGAGCGAGGATAGTAATAGAACTGACCGCGCTGCCGTTCTGAAGCTGCAGATGGACACGCTAGCAGATGACTTGGCAGTAGTGAAGGACTACCCGCTGCGTGACGTGGATGAGGACGATTTAGAGGACTTTGACACGTCAGTGTCGTCAAGCGATTCGGCCGAGTCGTCTCCCCGGCCTTCCTGGGAAATTGCAGCGGCCATGGATCCACGTCAGCTTGATTGGGTGCATCTCACGAGCCGATTAAAGTCATCGGCTCTTGGCGTGCTCCACCAGAATAACACGTCAGCAGCGCTTTACCAAAGAAACGCGCGAACCTCGCGGGGAAGAGGGGAGCGCGTCGCTGACGGGTGCTCAGGCGACAATAATTCAGAGCGATCCGAGGATTCGAGCAGCGGTTCAATAGCCGCAGGAGGATACGACGACGAGCCGGATGACACGGCTAGTGAGCGGGAGAGTGAGAGTGGCGAGGAACGGTGCGAGGTGGTGACGGCGAACGAAGAGGCTGCGCGGGAAGTGGTTACACGCGAGCAGTCAGGGAAGGATTGGCGGTCGGAGCAATCGTGGGACGCGAGTAGCGTAGGGTTGTGGGACGAGCGAGGAGACGGCGAGTCGGACGAGGCGGAGTCGGTAAGAAGCATCTTCAGCTGGCCGGTCGCTTCGAGCTCCGAAAGCGAGGCGGAGGGCACGGAGATGGTCGACATGGCGCGGGTGGCGGAGGTGGTGGGGAAGGCGGAGACGGAGACGGCGGTGACGGGGAAGACGGCAGAGACGGCGGAGATGACGGAGACGGCGGAGATGACGGAGTCGGCGGAGATGAGGGAGACGGCAGAGACGGCGGAGATGGCGGGGACGGTGGGGATTGTCAAGATTGACAGCGAGTTACAAGTGCGTGTAGTCAAGGGGCTTAGGCGGGAGGAGGAGCGATGCGGTCTGGAGCTGCTAGGCGCCGTGGTTGCGAGGAGTAATTTAGAGCCGTTTCGGAATAAGCTGTTAAATGGCGTAGTAGCGAGGAGGAGTAAGAGGCGGAAGAGGCGCGCAGCGACGAGTGCGGCGCGCATAGCGGGAATCGGAGAGGACAGTAGCGAGTCGGAAGCGGAGGAAATCGAAGGACGGGTGATGCAAGTGTTCCGCGTAGCGGTTGTACCGCCGGAAGATGAGGGCGCGCACGGCGGAATTAAGGGGGCAGTGAGTGCGGACGGGGCAGGCTCGAATCAGACCTGGAGGCTTCAGGACGGAGTTAATGAAACGGTTGGGATGCTGGGTGGAGGCGAGGAGGGGGAAATGGTGATGCGCCGTGCACGAGCTACAGCACACATCCCGGCGCCGGGAGCCGAGAAAGCGGGTTCGACGGAGGCGTGTCTTCCCGCCAACGGTGCCAGGGATCCTCCTCCTCCCACGGCGTCGCGCTGCGACGGTGGCCCCGATATAAGCACGAGCCGGGCAGTGCTGCCGCGCGAGGAAGGGGACTGCGGTTCCGCGCGCAAAGAGGCTGGCGCGCGCGAGTCCGCCGTGCGCGGAGCTCTGAGAGGCGCTTTTGCGGCGGTGCTGCCGGGCATGCGCGCAGTCACCTCCGCTCTCCAATCCGCCGTGGTGAGTTCAGATTTAAGACGTTTCGAAACGCTTTCCGATCCGCTGTGATGAGTCCGTTACGTCCGGTAGTCCCGTACGTCCGTTAATCCCGTACGTCCGTCAGTCCCGTACGTCCGTTAATCCCGTACGTCCGGTAGTCCCGTACGTCCGTTAATCCCGTACGTCCGTTAGTCCCGTACGTCCGTTAGTCCCGTACATCCATCAGTCCCGTTCGTCCGTGATTTCCCTTCGTCACACCACCTACTGCAGCCGTGTTTTCCCCTTACTTGCGTTCCTTTTCCGTTTTTCGTCGCTGAGATTTTTCTTTTATGGCGCCGTTTGTCCTCCCCGTGCCTCCCGCCGCAGTCCACGGTCGGGGAGATCTGCTACAACGAGCTTCAAAGCGCGTCCGCCGCGCCGCCGGACCGCGCGCAGCTGCTCGCCGCGCTGGCGCGGGCGCAGGGGCTGGCGGAGGGGCAGCAGTGTCTGGCGCCGTGGGACCCGGACGCGGTGGTTGCGGTGCCCCTCGGGACTGCCGCGCAGGTGAAATCCGCGCTGCAGGCCTCGCGGGAGCTCATGCGCGCGGAAGAGCGCGCGCTTCCCGCGGAGAAGGGGGAGGCGGGTGAAGACGCGGAGGCGGAAATGCAGGTGGATGGGGAAGACGCCCGTCGAGGGGAGGACAGACAGGAGGGAATGGGGGAAGTGAGCGGGGGCGGCGGAAGCGGAGTAAGCGAGGAAAGCGGGGGAAGCGGAGGAAGCGGGGGAAGCTGTGGAGGCGGTGGAAGCGGGGGAAGCGGCGCGCTGCCCATGGTGCTGGCGCGCACGCTGCAAGCCCTAGACGTGTTCGAGGACGTGCCCCTGAGGGACGAAGAGGAGGGCGCGGGGGGCGGAGGGGGGGGCGCGCGGGCGTTCGTCCCCATGCGCCAGCTGGCGGCGGGGCTGGCGACGGTGGGGGGAAACCTAGGGGGAGGCATGGGGGGGAATCTAGGGGCGATGGGGAGAGTGGGGAGCGGAAATAGCCGGGGGAGTGGTGGGGAAGGGGAAGGGGAGGATAGGGTGGGAGGGTCGGGGCATGAGGCAATGGGGTATGGGGGGGGTGCGTTTTTGGATGACTTGAGGTATGCTGGTGGGGGAGTGTATGGCGATGAAAGGGGGTTTGAGGGAGGGGGGGTAGAGTGCATGGGCGGTGAGGTGTGTATTGATGATACGGGGCGGTTTGACGGTGTGGGGTGCTTAGAAGAGTGTGGGTGCATGGAGGAGTGTGGGTATGTGGAGGAGAGCGAGGCGAGCGGGCCGGAGGACACTGGCATTGAGGGAAATAGACTCGCAAGGGAGAGAAGGGGGCAGCTGAGGGGTGATGGAAGAAAGATGGGGATGATGCAGAGGGAGGAGGAGGAGAAAGAGGAGAGTGAGGAGGAGCAGGTGGGAAGGCAGGGGGGTGGTGAGAGAGAGAGCGAGGACGAGGGTGAGGATGAGCTGTGGAAGCTGCGTGCTTCCCTCCACCGCGCGTCACAGCGAGCATTGCTCTCGCCACACGCCATGCTGTGCCACCGCCACCACACTCGCATACTCTCTGCTCCCCACTTGCACTCCTCCCCCCACTTGCACTCCTCCCCCCACTTGCACTCCTCCCCCCACTTGCACTCCTCCCCCCACTTGCACTCGTCCCCACACCTGCACCCCTCTTCCCCCTCCATCGACCTCTCCCCCCGTGTTGCCCTTTTCCGCTCACGCACGGACTGGCCGTGCTACCGCGACCCCTCCCCCCTCTCCGCGCCCTCCCCCTTCTCCGCGCCCGCGCTCTCCCCACTCTCCGCGCCTTCGCCCCTCGCCGCGCCCTCCCCCACCCGTGAGGGCGGAGAGAGCACTGCTGCCACGGCCGCCGCTGCAGCTGCCGCATGGTGGCGTGAGGAGTGGGAAGGGAGTGGTACGGGAGAGCCAGGGGAGAAGGAGGAATGGAAGGGGAGTGGAAGGCAGGTGGTAGGGGGAAAGGACGAGTGGGCGGGGCGTGGAGGGCGGGAGGCAGGGGGGAGGGGCGAGTGGGAGGGGAGTGGGGCGGGCGAAGTAATGGGAAGCGGCGAGTGGGAGGGGTGGGAGAGGAGTGCGAGCTTCCCCCTGTCGAGCTGGGACCGGGGCCTGTGGATGGACGGTCCGTGGGAGCAGCCTGTTATTGGCACTGATGTGGCGGTTGACAGAGATACCTGCCTGGGAAGAGCGGTGGTGTGCGGTGGTGGTGGCGAGATGGGGGGAGTGCAGGGGCGAGGGGGTGCTGTGCGGAAGCAGATGGGTAAGACGAGACGGAAAGCGGTGGAGAAGGATGGAGGGGAGCGAGGGAGGGTGGAAGTGGACGGGAAGGAAATGAAGGAGAGGAGGCGGGGAGTGGATGGGCGGAAGGAAGGAGAAGATATAGAAGTAGCTGATTTGAGTGTGGCGGAGGCAGGGAGGGTGCAGAGGGTGCAGAGGAGAAAGGGGAAGAAAGCAGTGAAAGGTGCAGAGAAGGGAGACGGGAGCAAGGAAGGTGCTTCTTTGGAGAAGCAGAAGAAGAGTGTGCGAAAGGTTGGTTCCGCAGGCACTGGAGAGGTGGAGGTGGGGATGGAGGTGGGGATGGGGGTGGGGATGGAAGGGGGCCCAGTGGTCAAGATACCTGTGAAGGGCAAGGCGAGGCGAAGGGGGCAAGAGGGTGTGGGCGGATGTAACAGCGTGGCAGGTGCGAGCGGGGAGGTGGGGGTGGGGATGGCAGGGTGTGGGCCGAGGGCCAAGGTACCTGTGAGGGGCAAGGCGAGGCGAAGGAAGGCAGAAGGTTCGGGCGAAGCTGGCAATGTGGCAGGCGGTAAGGATGCTGGTGGGGGGCTGGGGGGGGAGGGTAGAGTGGTGGGCAAGGGGAGTGGGCAGGGCAAGGGGGGTGCACAGGGAAAAAGGAACGCAGAGGGGAATGGAGGTGGTGGCGCTGCTGCTGCTGCTGCTGGTGGTAGTGGTGGAGGTGGTCCCATGGCACGCCGAGCGCGCAAGCCAGCCAGGAGCAGCACGGCGCTCACTGCTCTGTGCACAAGCAGGGATGTTCCCAGCTTGTACTCGCTCTCATCCTCATCTGCATCCTCAGCAGCACGGAAGCCGAAGGAGTGTTGGGTGGAATCAGCAGCAGGGGGGGTAAAAAAGGGCCGTCTGGATCTAGCGCAAGGCGGGCAGCCGAATCAGCCTGTTATTTCAACATCTTCCCTCGCGCCGTCCTCCCCACGCATTCTCCCCGCCTCCACCCCTGTCTCTCTCCCTGAAGCCTCTCCGTCCGTCTCAGTACTCCGCTCTTTCTTTGAGTCGGCTCAAGCCCCCCCGCTCTTTCGCCCCGCCTCCACCTCCCTCTCACTCCCCAAGGCACCTCTCACCGTCTTGGTACCCAGCTCTGCCACTTCTGCTGCTGGGATGGGTGCTGCCCCTCGGGAATTCAAACCTGCTGCACCCTGCGTCGTCGCTGCTCCAGCTGCCCTGCACACAGTGTCTCGGTGTGAGGTGGAGTGGGGTGTGAGTGTGGGTGCCGTGGGGGTGGAGGAGGGTGACTTTGCTGCTGGCTTGTCGTGGCAGATGGGGCCTAATTTGAGCGATGCCACTCCTGCCGGGGCGTGCAGTTCCTGCAGCACCAGTGCTTGCAGCAACACTTGCTGCAGCACCAGTGGTTGCAGCAACACTTGCTGCAGCACCAGTGGTTGCAGCAACACTGGCTGCAGCACCAGTGGTTGCAGCAACACTGGTTGCAGCACCAGTGGATGTAGCATCAGCAGCTCCACCAGTAGCAGCATCAGCAGCACGGGCAGGAACGTCAGCAGCAGCAGCAGCAGCAGCAGAACCAACAGCAGCGTCAGCAGCGGCATTGGCTATGTGCCAGGCTTCGCGTTCTTCTCTCTGCCATCAGTCCTTTCGCACGCCTGGGCAGCCATGCATGCTGCCACCACGCGTGTCTGCGCCATGCTCGCCCATCTCTCACGCCACATGCCATGGGGCTAGCTGCCCTGTGGATTGCACCCCATGGGACTGACTGACCACTGACATGACATTGTGAGTGAGACCAACATCACACGCCCGGGCGGCCATGCGTGCTGCCATGACACATGTCTGCGCCCTTCTCGCCCATCTCTCACGCCACATGCCATGGGGCTAGCTGTTTTGTGGATTGCGCATTCCATGGGACTGACCACTGACAATGACATGACACTGTGAGACCAACATCACATGACATTTACCAGCAGCAGCAGCACCAGCAGCAGCGGCAGCAACACTTGCCAGGCTACGCACACTTCTCTCTGACAACGGTGCTCTCACACGCCAGGGCGGCCATGCATGCTGCCACCACACATGCCCGTGGCTTGCTTGCCCACATCTCGCGCTCCTTGCTCCTTCGTGCCTGCAGTGGTGCGCTGCACATTCCGTGCGGGTAGCTGCTGTGTGGTGTGCATTGTTCAGATGTCTCAAAAGCACATGCCGTTGGGGTAGCTGCTGTCGATCGCTCTCCATGGGACTGACCACTGAAATGACGCTGAGAGACCAACACCACTTGACATTACATGACATGTAGCAGATTATGTGCTTGTCTCCTTTTTGCGTTTATGTATCCAGAACATTCCGGGTGCTTTGAACACACCGGTAATTTCTATAATGTGTTTGTTTTCTCTTGTTGTAATCTATGCATAACAATCTGTGATTCTAATTTACTATTCCAGCAGATAAGTCGAGCAAAACTCGGTGACGAAGCACAACGTTGAGTTCGGGGATTTCGAGGGGCTGGCCTCGCCCGTCCGGCACCCTCCCTCCCTCATTGTTTGCATAGAGCCGCCGCCGCATGTCCCTAGCTTACCTCCACGAGGCGCGCTGTTCTGCGAGAGCAGCCAGCGGCGCAGCGTCCAAGCATATTTGTTATAAGAATGGCTGGTATTATTGTGTGAATTGAGTTCACATGTTTTCTCGAATGCCACGTTTGAAGCCTACATCTCCCCCAGCAAGAAGCCGACCGAAATGTGTACAATAGTGCAGCACACTGCTCGGGAATTCCGAAGGGCTCACCTCGCCTGTATCGCGCACCCTCCCTTACCGCACCTTGCACACCCATCCATCACCGCGGCAACCCTACGTCCCTGCATGTACCCGCAGCCGCATGTCCCTAGTTTGCCTCCACCTGCGAGCAGCCAGCGCCTCGGTGCAGCGACGGCCGCCATGCGCGCTCGCACGAGGCTGCGCCACGCGGGCGATATGAACGACGCACGGCATGATGAACCGCGACGCCGCGCGCTTCACCTGCAGCCCTCCTCCTCTCGGCTCCTCTCCTCCCTTCTCCTGTTTCTCCTCACGCATCTATTTGCCCAGTGGTTAGTTCTTCCCTGTTTCTTCCTTCGCCATACCTCGCTGCTCTCTCTCTCCGTCCGTCTCCGTCTCTCGCACGCGCTGCTCTGCTCTTCTCTCAGCCGTTCGTCTGTGAGCTCTTCTCTCCGTCTCGTACGTGAACGTACTAGTCGGCCATGGCGTGGCGCGTGCTTGGGTGCGTCGCCGTCGTGTGCGCGCTGCTGTCGCTCGGCGCGCACGCGTCCGACGCGGAGTTTCTGCCGCCCGCGCCGGAAGATGTGATTAAAACGGAAGGCGGCTCGCTGTCCGTGTGGAGCCGCGAGTTCGAGTTCTTCAAGGTGCTGCCCGCCGTGCTTCGCTGGTGCTGTCCCGTTGCGGGGTGCTCAAGGCGATGCGCGCCTGCTGCACGCCCTTGTTTGCCTCACGCGCCTGTTGCTCTCCCACCTTTCTCGCTTCTCTCTTCCCCCACCAGGACGCGAACATGAATGCAGCGCGCATGGAGGTTGCTGCGTTCTCGCTCGCCCTCCCCGAGTACAACGACGCCCCGCAGCTCTCCTTCATCACCCACGGCTGCGCCTTCATGGGCCTGCTCTCGCCCATGGGCGTTCCTGCTCCCCTCAGGTGCGGTTGGATAGCCCATATGTGCGCCCTCCGTGTGTCATCTGCTGCTGCTGCTGCTGCTGCTGCTGCTGCTGCTGCTGCTGCTGCTGCTGCTGCTGCTGCTGCTGCTGCTGCTGCTGCTGCTGCTGCTGCTGCTGCTGCTGCTGCTGCTGCTGCTGCTGCTGCTGCTGCTGCTGCTGCTGCTGCTGCTGCTGCTGCTGCTGCTGCTGCTGCTGCTGCTGCTGCTGCTGCTGCTGCTGCTGTTGCTGCTGCTGCTGCCGCTAGGAGGTCTGGAGGCAGCAGCGACGCCCCGCAGCTCTCCTTCATCACGCACGGATGCGCTTTCATGGGCCTGCTCTCGCCCATGGGCGTCCCTGCCCCGATCAGGTGCGGTCTTATAGTCTCATTATGAGTATGAGTGTGTGCGTGCTTCCACGTGTGCTTCCACGTGTGCTTCCCACCATGTGTCGTCTGCTGCTGCTGGCGCTGCTTTGACTGAGGCAGCAACGACGCTCCACAGCTCTCCTTCATCACACACGGATGCGCTCCGTTTATCATCTGCTGCTGCTGCTGCTGCTGCTGCTGGCGCTGCTCTGTCCTGTCCTCCCCTCTTCTGCATGCTTGCACGCAGATGCGTGCAGAAGGGCGACATAATCGCCATTCCGCGAGGCTGGGCCAGCTGGGCGCGGAACAACGGGTTGGAGCCCCTCAGGGCGCTGCTAGTGTCCGTCCGACATGCATTGACTCCCTTATTCACCTTTTCCCGGTGGTGTATGCATGTAGATACGTGCAGGAGAGTGAGATAGTCGCCATCCCACGTGGCTGGGCGAGCTGGGCATGAAACAACGGGTCGGAGCCCCTGAGAGCCCTGCTAGTGAGAAACACGCGCTCTGACTTTCCCTACTCCCATCTGCTTCACATCTTCTTTCTCTCCCTTGTGTACTTGCTGCGGGCCGTAGATACGTGCAAGAAGGCGATATTGTGGCCATTCCGCGAGGCTGGGCGAGCTGGGCGTGGAACAACGGGTCGGAGCCGCTCAGGGCGCTGCTGCTGTCAGTCCGACACGCCTTGACTTCCCCTATACCCTCCTCTCTCCTTCCCCGCTGCTGCCTGCATGCATGCAGATACGTGCAGGAAGGCGATATTGTGGCAATTCCACGCGGCTGGGCGAGCTGGGCGTGGAACAACGGCTCGGAGCCGCTCAGGGCGCTGCTGCTGTCCGACACGCGCTCTGCCCCCCAGCCCGGGGAGGTGCATGCGTTCACTCTCATGGGCGGCCCACACGAGACGCTGGGTGGCGTGCTTCACGGTTTCAGGTGGGTAGTAGAGTGCACAGGTGCAGGTGAGCCCCTCAGGGCGCTGCTGCTGTCGGACACGCGCTCTGCTGCGGAGGCTGGGGGAGGTGCACGCGTTCACTCTCATGGGCGGGCCACGCGAGACACTGGGGGGCGTGCTTCATGGCTTCAGGTGATCCCCTCAGGGCGCTGCTGCTGTCGGACACGTGCTCTGTCGCCCAGCCGGGGGAGGTGCACGCCTTCACTCTTATGAGCGGGCCACGCGAGACGCTCGGCGGCGAGCTGCACGGGTTCAGGTGGGCGGCAATGAGACACTCAGGTAGGCGGTAGTGAGGCACGCAGCTGGGCGGCTGAACGTTCATGTGGGCAGCGGAGGACATTGTAAAGAGCTTAGGGTTGCCTGTGCCGACGTTTGAATGCTCCCTTTCTTTCCCCTCCCTCTCTCTCCGACCCTCAACTCTCTCTCTCTCCCTTGCAGTGCGGATCTGCTAGCGAGAGCGTGGGACGTGGAGGAGGAGGAGGCAAAGCGTCTGGTGGCGGGGCAGAAGCACGTGGGGTTCATTGCGATCGGCAGTGTGAGTCATTCAATTCATGGGAATATGTTGCTGTTGGGTACTCAGGTGTGCCGTGTGAGTATGCTGCTGTTGGGTCATTGAGGAGGCAAAGCGTCTGGTGGCGGGGCAGAAGCACGTGGGGTTCATTGCGATCGGCAGTGTGAGTCATTCAATTCAAGTGTGCTGTTGTTGGGTTATGGGAGCGCGCTTGTGACCAATTCGTTTGGAGGGAATGCGGAACGCAATTGTCCAGCGTGTAGCATCAAGGAGGCTCCTTGACTCGCTCTCACTCTCTCATGGCCACCTGTCCTCTCCCTCCACTCCCCCAAACGGCAGCACAACGCACCGCGCGTGACAGCAGAGCTGCAGGCGATGGTGGAAGAGAGCGAGGAGGAGGTGTACGGTATGGAAGGGGAAGCGGTCGACAGCATTGACAGCATCAGCTTGGAGGGCATGAACGGCATGAAGCACATGCACATGGGGGACATCTCCCCCTTCATGCGCTTCAAGTATAACCTCGCCCATGCAACACCTGATGTGTCGGTCTGTCCTCTTCCCCCCCTCCCCTTCTCCCCCCCTTACACGGCAGCACAACGCCCCACGCATGACAGCGCAGCTGCAGGCGATGCTGGAAGAGAGCGATCAGACATATGGCATGGAAGAGGAGATCGTTGACAGCATCAGCATGGAGGGCACCAACGGCGTGAGGCACATGCGCATGGGGGACATCTCGCCCTTCACGCGCTTCAAGTACAGCCTCGCCCACGCAACACCTGACGTGTCGGTGCCCAAGGGAGGAGACATCTTCGTGGTGGATCGAAGCAAGCTGCCTGTGCTGCACCACATTGGGCTTTCTGCTTTCCTCTATCACTTGCAGGTGAGCCTCTGCTTCTGCCTCTCCTCCTCTGCTCCTCTCTCCCCTTTCACGCGCTTCAAGTACAGCCTGGCCCACGCAACGCCCGACGTGTCGGTGCCCAAGGGAGGAGACATCTTCGTGGTGGATCGCAGCAAGCTGCCCGTGCTGCACCATGTCGGCCTCTCCGCCTTCCTGTATCACCTCCAGGTCAGCTCCCTTCTTCCTCTGCTCCTCTGCTCATATGCCCCTCGGCACCTGACGTGTCGGTGCCCAAGGGAGATGATATCTGCGCGGTGGATCGATCCAAGCTGCCCGTGCTGCACCACGTCGGCCTCTCCGCCCTCCTCTACCACCTGCAGGTGAGCTCTCTCCTTCCTCTGCTTCTCTGCTCCCCTGCTTCTCTGCACCTGAAGTGTCGGTGCCCAAGGGAGGAGACATATTTGTGCTGGATCGCTCAAAGCTGCCTGCGCTGCACCATGTGGGCCTCTCCGCCTTCCTGCATCACCTGCAGGTGCGTCTCTCTGCCCCTCCCCCCTCCAGGTGCCCTCACTCTGCTTGTGCACTCCTCTGCGCACCATTCTCTCTGCGCTGCTCTGCCTTTCTCTGCAAAAACCTCCTCTCTGCGCTGTCTCACCCCTCATTTTACCCTTTCTCTGTCGTTCAGACTTTCACATTAGTTCCTGTGATAAGTTATCTATTTTGTCCTTCCATGCTCTCTGCCCCATCCCTCCATCCCTCCAGCCAAATGCACTCCTCGCCCCCCACTGGTATCCAAACGCCGCCATCCTGCACGTGGTGCTGGCGGGCAGTGGCCGCATCGAGGTGGTGTATCCTGACAGCTGATGAGGCGCCTCATGCTTGCTTCTACTCTCTTTCTCCCCTGTTTCCCTGTTCCCTTGCTCCCTCCACCCACTCCAGCCTAGCGCACTCCTCGCCCCCCACTGGTATCCCAATGCCGCCATCCTGCATGTGGTGATGGCGGGCAGTAGCCGCATCGAGGTGGTCCGTCTTCAAATGAAGCACCTCATCATGCTTGCGTCTGCTCCCTTACTCCCCTTCTTCCCTGCTCTCTTTCTCCCCTGCTCTCTGCCCTACCCCACAGCCAAATGCACTGCTAGCCCCCCACTGGTACCCCAATGCGGCCATTCTGCATGTGGTGCTAGCGGGCAGTGGCCGCATCGAGGTGGTGTATCCTGACGGTCGCACCGCTCTGCACCGTGACGTTCACACCGGGGATGTCATTGCTGTTCCTGCTCTCTTCCCTTCTTCCATGGTACGTCCACTTTCCCTCGGCGGCACTCCCCACCGCTCTGCACCGTGATGTTCACACCGGGGACGTCATTGCCGTGCCTGCGCTCTTCCCCTCCTCCATGGTACGTCCACTTTCCCTTGGCACTCTTCTCACCGCTCTGCACCGTGACGTTTACAAGGGGGGGTGTCATTGCCGTGCCTGCCCTCTTCCCTTCCTCCATGGTACGTTGCTCTTGCCTCCCATGGTGCTAGCGGGCAGTGGCCGCATCGAGGTCGTGTATCCTGACGGCCGCACCGCTCTGCACCGTGACGTTCACACCGGGGACGTCATTGCCGTGCCTGCGCTCTTCCCCTCCTCCATGGTACGTTGCTCCTCCCTCCTCCCTTAACGAGTCTCCAGCTCTCATCTTTCTCCTCTCACCATCTGCATAAATCCTTTCTCACTTGTCTTCTCTCTGCTTTGAGCGCATTCTCGTGCCTTTATTGAACGTCGACAAGAAGCTACTTCTGAGAAATCTCGAAAGGAGAACTTGAAATATCCCTTCCCTCCCTCTTATTCACTTTCCATTCCCTATGCCCCCCTCCTCCCCCCCTCCCATTCCTCACCAGGAGGCGTCAGAGGAGGGAATGATGTGGATTGCCATTACCAACCGCCCGCTGTCCTTACATCCTGTATATGCCCTTCCTCTCTCCACTCTCTCTTCCTCTCACCACTCATCAGGCGGCGTCAGAGGAGGGAATGTTGTGGATTGCCATCGCCAACCGCCCACTCTCTCCCCCGTCCTTCCTAGCCGGGGCCACATCGGTGTTCAAGGGCATCCCCAAGCGCGTGCTCATGGTACCTATTTTGACACCCTCCCCCCTCCCTCAACCCACTCATCAGGAGGCGTCTGAGAAGGGAATGATGTGGATTGCCATCGCCAACCGCCCACTCTCCCCGCCGTCCTTCCTAGCGGGGGCCACATCAGTGTTCAAGGGTATTTCAAAGCGCGTGCTCATGGCAGCATATGTTGAGAAGGAGCTAGAGGAAGAACGAGCTCTACATTCTTGCCCTTCCTCCTGTTCACTCTCGTACCCATTGCCTATGCCCATCCCCCTTCTACCTCTCTCCCTTTACCCTCAACAACAGGAGGCTTCTGAAGAGGGGATGATGTGGATTGCTATCGCCAACCGTCCGCTCTCCCCGCCGTCCTTCCTCGCGGGGGCCACATCGGTGTTCAAGGGTATCCCCAAGCGCGTGCTCATGGCTGCGTTTAATGTTGAGAAAGAGCTGGTGGACAAGTTTTACAAGGCCCGCCGTGACCCGTCGGAGATTGCGATTTTCCCGCCCGCGCACAAGACCACTGCCACTGCGTAGTGTGTCCAAGCGCGTGGCCATGGCCGCATTCAACGTGTACCAGGAGCTTGATTGAGGATACATGCCACCGTACAAAGCTCGTCGCGACCCGTCCGAGATTGCCGTCTTCCCGCCCAATTGCTGCATTGCATAGCCGCTGTTGGGTTTTGTTTGGGAGATGGGGAGGATTGGAAGGGAGCGTCATGAAGTGATAGTTGCATGTGCAGTGTAGTTGTAGTCATAGAGGGATGTCTGTGATTTTTTTGTAGTTGTACATAAGAAAATGAAACGGGATGTAACAAGTCTTTGCGGCGGAACATTTAATATCGAGAATTATCACTACCCTCTCACTCAAAATTATCCTCCTCGCATCCACCTCAATTCACCGCCTGCTTTTTCCCACATGTCTTGCGCCGTTCCCATGAGGGCTTGCGCGCTCTTCTCCCGCCTCTACCCCGCACCCGCCACGTGTCTGACCGCCGTTCGTCGCCACGTGAGCAGCGCGCCAATGGGGTTCGTCATCGCCACGTGTCAATCAAAAGGCAAGCTGCTGCCTGCATTCTTTTTGTGGTAGCCAATTCTCTGACGGTGGTTTATCTGACGGCCATTTCTCTGACGGCCATTTCTCTGACGGCCGTTGTTTGACTGGTAGATCGGCGGAATAGCCGGCGATCGCAATCAGCAGCAGGCAGCCCGCCAAATCGGCTCGGACGGGGCGAAAATATTATCGGTCAACGCGGGAGATAACTGCACATCCCTCCGCCTCTCCGCCCTCCGCCTCTCCGCCCTCCGCCCTCCGCCCTCCGCCCTCCACCCTCCGCCGCATTCTCCCCATCACCCTCTTCCCCCACTCTCCCTACTTTCCCCCCTTCTAATTCCCCCTTTCCACCGCTGTCCGCCACTTTCCTCAGCGACTCAGCGGCCTCTCCTCGTCCCCTTCCCCTATCACATCGCGTCTTCTTCTCCTCGCGGTGCATTTCGTCGAGCTGCAAGGGCAGGGGCTGGCACAACGGTTTTAAATTGCTCTCCGCTCAAAACCCCCCTCCCACCTCCGCCCTTTCCCCGCCCCGCTTCCCCTTTCCCCCTCCCCCCTACCCTCTCGCAGTGCAGTTTGTGGAGCTGCAGGGGCAGGGCCTGGCGCAGCGAGTCTGAGGCGCAGCGAGTCCCCTCTCCGCGCCCAACCCCCCTCCCTCCTCCGCGCACTGCCCCCTTCCGCCTAACTCATTCCCCCTCCCCCCCCGCAGTGCAGTTCGTGGAGCTACAGGGGCAGGGGCTGGCGCAGCTGGTTGAGTCGCTCTTCTCCCTTCCGCCCTCCACCTTTCCCCCGTCCCGCTTGAATCTTTCCCCATCCCCTTTCCCCCCCTCCCCCTCCGCAGTGCAGTTCGTGGAGCTGCAGGGGCAGGGGCTGGCGCAACGAGTCCGTCTGACGCGCTCTCCGCCCCCAGCCCCCTTTTCCCCGCCCCTTTTCCCCCTCTTCCCCCCGCAGTGCAGTTCGTGGAGCTACAGGGGCAGGGGCTGGCGCAGCAGGTAGCGGCGCTCTTCTCCCTTCCCCCCTCCACCTTTCCCCCGTCCCCCTTCCCCCTTTCCCATACCCCACTCCCCCTCCCCTGCAGTGCAGTTCGTGGAGCTACAGGGGCAGGGGCTGGCGCAGCGGAAAGCCGCCATTCATGATGTGCGTTGGGGCAAGGGGGAGGGGAATGGGGGGACAAGGAGTGGGGAGAGGGCACGGGAATGCGAAGGACTGGTGGGGAGAACCGGGAAAGGAAATGGGCGTTGAGCGTTGAGGGATGGGGATTTTTTTCCAAGGGTTCTGCTAACCCAATCACCCCTCTCAGTCTCCCTGCCCCGTCCACTCCTTTCCCCCATCCGCCTCCCCTTCTCCCCTTTCGCCTTCCCCCCCTCCCCCTCCCCCGCCCCCCCATCAGCTACGAGTGGTGCCTCTGGAGGGGCCTTCACGCTACATCCGACCACGTCACTCCGCCTTCCCCTTCCCCCCCGCCACTCCGCCTTCCCCCACTCCGCCTCCCCCCACTCCGCCTCCTCCACTCCGCCTTCCCCTTCCCCCCCCGCCACTCCGCCTTCCCCCACTCCGCCTCCCCTCCCCCCCAATCAGCTACGAGTGGTGCCTCTGGAGGGGCCCTCACGCTACATCCGACCACGGAGCATTCGCTACAAACAGCACGGCAAGGTGCGATGAGCATTCGATACAAGCAGCATGGCAAGGTGCGATGAGCATTCGATACAAGCAGCACGGCAAGGTGCGATGAGCATTCGATACAAGCAGCACGGCAAGGTGCGATGAGCATTCGATACAAGCAGCACGGCAAGGTGCAATGAGCATTCGATACAAACAGCACGGCAAGGTGCGATGAGCATTCGATACAAGCAGCACGGCAAGGTGCGATGAGCATTCGATACAAGCAGCACGGCAAGGTGCGCTGGGTGCACATATAACATCACTCAAAAGCCCATTGACTTTTAGTCCACCAGCAAACATTCTCAGCCCATTAGCAATCACTGATACCATAATAGCAATGGCAATCCACGGAGCAAGCAGCAATACATCCCAAATGCAGTTATTTCCCCCACTTTGATTGACAAGCGAAGCACAGCAGTGCTTGTGAGCGATTTCTGAGAATTCTCAAAAGTCGCTCATGAGGCGCCTCAAAAGTCAAAAGTAGACTCCCGGCACAGCAGTGCTGCTGAAGATGTTCGGAGGTTGAGGTTCAGATTCTTCCCCCACTGCCCTTCCTTCCCACCCGAGTTGGTTCCATCAGGACCGTCGATGGGACATGGTGCAATCGCATCCGTCCGTTGCAGTGCTGCTCTTCCACACAGAGCTCAATCTGCTCCTCATGGTACGCGCTGCTATGACTTAGGCATATTTTGAGGCGCCTCAAAATACACCTCTTCCACACAGAGCTCAATCTGCTCCTCATGGTACGCGCTGCTATGAAATGAATCACGCATGCCGCACCGTACAGTGCGTCTATTCTGCTACTGTGCACCTGTCTTCTGCTGTGGACGCTCCTGCATCTGCATGTGAATTCGATCACGGGGAGAGCACCAGCTGCTCCGCATGATCTCGTTGCTATGAATCACGCATGCCACGCGCCCAGGGTTGTGAGCTGTGGGCGTATTTAATATACCAAATGCCACAACCAAATGCAATCACTAACATGCCATGAAGAGCTGAAGCTGCTCCTCATGGTTCCCGTTGGTATGAATTGGGCATGCCACACTGTTCATGTATTCTCCTACTCTGCACTTGTCTGTTGCCCTTTTATCGCTCGCTCCCCTTCATCCCTCTTTCCCTGACCATTCTATTCCCTCTACTTCTCCCCTCCTGATCCGAGTCCCTCGTCCCTCTTTAAACTCAGAGCTAGCTGAGTTGACTCAGAGCTGACTCAGAGCTGACTCAGAGCTGACTCAGAGCTGACGCTGAGTTGAATCAGAACCACTCCCTTCCACCCCAACCCCCCTGCCAGGTGCGGCAATTTCGCCCCACGGTGCTGGCAGCAGCAGCGGCAGAGGTGGAGGTAGAGGGGAGCGAGGAGGGGAATGAAGCGGAAGCTTGAGTTCTCAGAACTGTCTTCCTCCACTCCCCTCCACCCCAACCCCCCCTGCCATGTGCGGCAGTTCCGCCCCACGGTGCTCGCAGCAGCAGCAGCAGCAGCAGCAGCAGGCATAGAAGGGGGGGCGGCCTTGCAGTATTGTATTGTTGATTTGACTCACAACTATCCTCCCCCACCCCAACCCCCCCCCCTGGCAGGTGCGGCAGTTCCGCCCCACAGTGCTCGCAGCAGCAGCAGCAGCAGCAGCAGCAGCGGCAGAAGCAGAGACAGACGTAGAGGGGAGCGAGGAGGGGGTGAATCTCACAGGGGACCTTGAGGCTGCATTCACCTACGAGCTGTGTGCGGGTAAGAGCAGTTGAGAGTGGTTGAGAGCGGCAGAGGTGGAGGGGGGAAAGGAGGGGGTGAATCTCACGGGGGACCTCGAAGCTGCCTTCACCTACGAGCTCTGTGCAGGTGAGAGTGGCTGAGAGTGGTTGAGAGCGGCAGAGGTGGAGGGGGGAAAGGAGGGGGTGAAGCTCACAGGGGACCTTGAGGCTGCCTTCACATACGAGCTGTGTGCGGGTGAGAGGTGAGAGCAGTTGAGAGCGGGTGAGATGTGTGGGGGTGAGAGTGGGTGGGTGAGAGTGGGTGGGTGAGAGTGGGTGGGTGAGAGTGGGTGGGTGAGAGTGGGTGGGTGAGAGTGTGCGGGTGAGAGTGGGTGGGTGAGAGTGGGTGGGTGAGAGTGGGTGGGTGAGAGTGGGTGGGTGAGAGTGGGTGGGTGAGAGTGGGTGGGTGAGAGTGGGTGGGTGAGAGTGGGTGGGTGAGAGTGGGTGGGTGAGAGTGGGTGGGTGAGAGTGGGTGGGTGAGAGTGGGTGGGTGAGAGTGGGTGGGTGAGAGTGGGTGGGTGAGAGTGGGTGGGTGAGAGTGGGTGGGTGAGAGTGGGTGGGTGAGAGTGGGTGGGTGAGAGTGGGTGGGTGAGAGTGGGTGGGTGAGAGTGGGTGGGTGAGAGTGGGTGGGTGAGAGTGGGTGGGTGAGAGTGGGTGGGTGAGAGTGGGTGGGTGAGAGTGGGTGGGTGAGAGTGGGTGGGTGAGAGTGGGTGGGTGAGAGTGGGTGGAGGTGGAGGGAAGCGGGGAGGGGTGAAGGTCACGGAGGACCTTGACGCTCCATTCACATACGAGCTGTGTGGGATGAGAACGATTGAGAGTGGTTGAGGTGGACATTGGGGGAAGAGGAGGGGGTGAAGGTCACGGGGGACCTTGACGCTCCATTCACATACGAGCTTTGTGCGGGTGAGGGGGTGTGAGGGTGGGTGAGAGTGGGTGAGGGTGGGTGAGAGTGGGTGAGGGTGGGTGAGGGTGGGTGAGGGGGGATGAGAGTGGGTGAGAGCGATGAGGGTGGGTGAGTGTGGGTGAGAGTGCGTGAGAGTGGGTGAGAGTGGGTGAGAGCGGTGAGGGTGGGTGAGAGTGGGTGAGAGTGGGTAGAGCAGGTGAGGTCAAAACATGTGGAGCAAACCTGTGGGCTTATGATGTGTGTTCATTGTGCTGCCGGCATTCCTAGTGCTCTCCCCTCCACTCACAGCCATCAGTTGCTGCTCTCTCCTCTCCCCGCTGCTCCCCCTCTTTTCCCACCCGTGCAGGGCTCGTGGACAAGGCAGGGAAGGACCTTAGGCAGATCGCCATGGGGTGTGGAGAGGAGAGAGGGGAGCAATTCTCTCCCCCGACCACTCACTGCTCCCCTTGCTGCTCCCCCCCTTTCCCCCCCCCGTGCAGGGCTGGTGGACAAGGCAGGGAAGGACCTAAAACAGATTGCCAAGGGGTGAAGAGAGCAGAGAGGGAAGCAGTTCCCCCCCCCCCCCGACCACTCACTGCTCCCCTTGCTGCTCCCCTCGTTCCTTCCCCCGTGCAGGGCTGGTGGACAAGGCAGGCAAGGACCTAAGACAGATCGCCGTCACACTCTGAACCCCCCTTTCCTTCCGCGGCTCCCCTTGCTGCTCTCGCCAATCTTTTGTGCAGGGCTGGTGGACAAGGCAGGCAAGGACCTAAGGCAGATCGCCAAGGTGAGGAGAACGGGGTGGTGGAACGGAGGGAAAGGGGGTGGGAGAATGTGCTAGCACGGGGCTGGGACGCTGAGGGAAGGGGTGATGGGGTGTGGCATTACAGCCAAGGTACTGCATCTGGTGACTCCCATACCAGGTTGCACCGCACTGCACTGCACTCCACCTCGCTCTACCCCACTCCGCCCACCCCACTTCACCGCACTCCATCCCACCCCACCAGGAGGAGGTATTGGAGGAGACGGGATACCACGTGCCGGTGGAGGAACTGCCGCTGGTGACTCTTTACACCACACCCCGTTGCACCGCACTCCACTCTGCTCCACCCCACTTCATCCCAATCCATCCCACTCCACCGCTCTCGACCCAACTCCACCCCGTGCCACCAGGAGGAGGTGTTGGAGGAGACGGGGTACGACGTGCCACTGGATTCACTGCAGCTGAAGACTCGTTACACCACACCTCGTTGCACCCCATTCCACCCCCCTCCACCTCACTCAACCGCACTCCTCCCCACTTCACCGCACTCCACCACCCCACGTCCACCAGGAGGAGGTATTAGAGGAGACGGAGTACGATGTGCCACTGGAGTCACTACAGCTGGTAGCACGTTACACCACACCCTGTTGCTCCGCACTGCACTCCACCCACTCCCACTTGATCCCTCCCCACCGTACCCCACCCCACCAGGAGGAGGTATTAGAGGAGACGGGGTACGATGTGCCACTGGAGTCACTGCAGCTGGTGACAGCTGCTCTCACGTCCGTGGGGATATCTGGAGCCAGGCAAACCATGTTCTATGCAGAGGTGAGCTGCTAAAAGCTCGACTTGAAGCCCACGTCATAAAACATTTGAGCCACTGGAGGCGCTGCAGCTGGTGACAGCTGCTCTCACGTCCGTGGGGATCTCAGGGGCACGGCAAACAATGTTCTATGCAGAGGTGAGCTACTTAAAGCCCAGGTCAATGCCCGGGTGAACCTGCATTGAGCTGGTGGCGGCTGCTCTCACGTCCGTGGGCATCTCGGGGACTGGGACTCAGACAAGCCATGTTCTACGCGGAGGTGAGCTGCTTAAAGCCTGGTTGCAAGCCCGGTTGAAAACCTGGGTTAACCTACATTGAGGTAGCTGGTGACAGCGGCTCTCACGTTCGTGGGGATATTGGGGGATCGACAGACCACGTTCTACGCGTAGGTATGCTGTTTAAAAACCTCGTCAACTATAGTGCAGCTCTCTCGTTCATTGGCATATCAGGCCGGGCGGACAATGTTCAACCCACATTGACCAAAATCGGCTCCCTTAGTTTCCCCTGAATCCCCATTGACTCTCGCTCATCAGTTAGAACCTAGCTGGGTAGATTGCCATTGCTAGCCTAGGTGGAGTGTACAGTTGTTCCTGGTGAAAACGTGCCTGCGTGGCCTAATGGATAAGGCATCTGACTTCTAATCAGGTGATTGTGGGTTCGAGTCCCACCGTGGGTGAACTTGTGCTTCACCTTTTTCTTACCTGTTTTCCTCTTCTCCCGCCTGCTCCCTCTCCATTTCCTGTTGTGCCATGTGCTGTGTGCGGGCTGCTGTGGTTGGCAGGTGAACGAGGCACAGAGAACTCACGCTGGCGGAGGCAAGGAGGAGGAGGGCGAGGTGAGGACATTCAGTGGGGGGGGGGGGGAGGGGAGGGGACATTATAGGGTGGTGAGAGAGGAGAAACAGAGTTACGGAGATATGCAGATGCGTGGTGATATAGGGGCGGATGTTTGTGGGGGAAAGAGACAGAGAGAGGAGGGAGAGGAGCGTCCGATGGTGGGCACGAGGGCATTGATTGGGGCAAAGCTGATAAATGCAGGGCTATTATGGCGGGGCTGTTATGGCAAGGAGCGAGAGTGGTGGTAGAGGGGACTCAGTCAAAGTGGAGTGAGAGTGGATTGAGGGTAGAGGTAGGCTCCAAGGGCTTTGTGCCTGCAAGCCTGCTACTCCCCTGCCAACTTCCCCCTCCCCACTCTCTCCCCTTCTCCTCCTTCCCACCCCACTCTCCCCCACAACACTTCCCCCCAAACCCTTGCCCCACCTTTCCCCGTCAACCCCCCCAGGCAACAGACGTGGTGGGTGGGCCTGCCGCTCGCCCATTCCCCCCAGTCTCCCTCCCGACCCCCCCTCCCCCTCCCCCCAGGCAACAGACGTGGTGGGTGGGCCTGCCGCTCGCCCATTCCCCCCAGTCTCCCTCCCGACCCCCCCCTCCCCCTCCCCCCAGGCAACAGACGTGGTGGGTGGGCCTGCCGCTCGCCCATTCCCCCCAGTCTCCCTCCCGACCCCCCCTCCCCCTCCCCCCAGGCAACAGACGTGGTGGGTGGGCCTGCCGCTCGCCCATTCCCCCCAGTCTCCCTCCCGACCCCCCCCTCCCCCTCCCCCCAGGCAACAGACGTGGTGGGTGGGCCTGCCGCTCGCCCATTCCCCCCAGTCTCCCTCCCGACCCCCCCTCCCCCTCCCCCCAGGCAACAGACGTGGTGGGTGGGCCTGCCGCTCGCCCATTCCCCCCAGTCTCCCTCCCGACCCCCCCTCCCCCTCCCCCCAGGCAACAGACGTGGTGGGTGGGCCTGCCGCTCGCCCATTCCCCCCAGTCTCCTCCCGACCCCCCCTCCCCCTCCCCCCAGGCAACAGACGTGGTGGGTGGGCCTGCCGCTCGCCCATTCCCCCCAGTCTCCCTCCCGACCCCCCCTCCCCCTCCCCCCAGGCAACAGACGTGGTGGGTGGGCCTGCCGCTCGCCCATTCCCCCCAGTCTCCCTCCCGACCCCCCCTCCCCCTCCCCCCAGGCAACAGACGTGGTGGGTGGGCCTGCCGCTCGCCCATTCCCCCCAGTCTCCCTCCCGACCCCCCCTCCCCCTCCCCCCAGGCAACAGACGTGGTGGGTGGGCCTGCCGCTCGCCCATTCCCCCCAGTCTCCCTCCCGACCCCCCCTCCCCCTCCCCCCAGGCAACAGACGTGGTGGGTGGGCCTGCCGCTCGCCCATTCCCCCCAGTCTCCCTCCCGACCCCCCCTCCCCCTCCCCCCAGGCAACAGACGTGGTGGGTGGGCCTGCCTCTCGCCCAGCTGGACGCCTTCATTGCTGACGTTGTCACCCACCTTCCCCTCCCCCTTCCCCCTCTTCCCCAATCCCTTCCCCCCCTCCCCGTTCCTCAACCCCCCTAGGCAATAGACGTGGTGGGGTTGCCCTGGCCTAGCTGGACGCCTTCATTGCTGACGTGGACCTGCCCAAGAGCCCTCGCGGGCTCTTCGGTGGCCCCCTACCCCCTCCATTCCTCAGGCCATAAACATGGTGGGGTGGGCTGCCCCTCGCCCGGCTCTCCCGCCTCCCAGCTACCCTGTCTGTCTTCCCCCTTTAATCTCCCCCTCCCCTTTCACCCTCTCCGTCCCTCCCCCCAGGCCATAGACGTGGTGGGGCTACCTCTCGCACAGCTGGACGCCTTCATTGCTGACGTGGACCTCCCCAAGAGTCCCGGAGGGCTGTTCGGGGTCGCGTGGTTCAAAGCTACAGTGCTGCCCACGTTACAAGGCTCAAGCTGACCGCGCATGCTGCTGTTATATGCAATATTGTGGTGCTGATGTGTGGTTGTCGAAACAAGCTGGAGGGCTTTTTGGGGTCGTGTGGTTCATAGCTACTATGCTGCCCAGCCCACGTTACAAGACGCAAGCTGATGACACACGGTGCTGTTATGTGTCATGTTGTGACAGCCGAGCCGATCCCATCGAATGTGGAGCCCTCATAAAAAGATGGGAGGGCTATTTGGGGTTGCATGATTCAAAGCTACAGTGCTGCCACTCTACAAGACTCAAGCTGACTGCATGTGCTGTTAGACAGATCAACTGCAAAATATGGAGCATGGCAAATTGCCAGGCGAATAATATCATGCATGCCAAACAGTAGTTTGGCTAACTACCGACAAAGAGAAATAATAGATGAGTGCCAACTGACATAGCAATAAGTCTGATCTGAAATGATGCTGTAGAGCCCCCAATACGGTACTAAAATATCCTAAGGCTGCAAGGCAGCAGCTTGAAAAGCTCTGAAACATGCCCATCGCATAACAAATGAATCAAACCTATCAAGATAGAAGGCACCTCCCTCCACCTACCGTACGCTTGCACCATCCCTCGTTACCCTCACTCCCCCGTGTACCCTCCACCACTCCTCAATGGCTCTTGTGGCGCTTCATCTTGCGGTGTTTCTCCGGGCAGTCAAACGACTTGTGCCCCTCGTCCCCACACACAAAGCACCCCTCTGCGCCCTTCTTCCGCCCCTTGCCCTTCCTCCCCCCCGCCCCCTCATGCTCCTGCTCCATCGCATCCCCACCTCCCCCCACCTCCCCTGCTAATCCCCCAGCCCCCGCACCCCCATGCCCACTTCCCCCACCCCCTGCTCCACCTGCTCCCCCTGCGGCTCCCCCCATCCTCCCTGCTCCCCCTGCCACCCCTACCCCTCCTGCCCCTCCGCCCCCCACAACCCCCCGACTAGCCACAGCATAAGCGACCTTAACCGGCCGCCCACACGCCACCTGCTGATTGCGCTCAATCGCCCGCTCCAAGCTCTCCTCATCCTCAAAATCCACGTGCCCGTACCCCTTGTGCCGCCCGGTCTCGGGATTCCTCGCCAGGCGCACCACAGCTATGCTACAGCCGGGGAAGAAGGCCGCTACAGCCGCCTCGTCCATGCTCCACGCGAGATTGCCCACGTACGCGCGGAGGCTGCCTGGTGCGCGCTGAGGGGGCGGCAGGTCGGAGGGATCCTTGGGACTGGGTGCGGTGGCGGTGGTGGTGGGGTGAGTGGCGGAGAGGGTGGTTGGAGTGGGGGCGGAGGAGGCGGAGGAGGGGTTGACTCGGCAGGGCTTGATGCGAAGGAAACGGCCGTCCCTGGGGAGGGAGAGGGGGGAGAAGAGAGACAGGAACACGTATTAGGTGGAGAGCGGGAAGGGGGGAGGTGTAGGCGCGGGATGGTGATACAGGGGAGGGTGAACAGGGGAAGGCAAAATGCGAATGGCGGTCTCATTGTGCAGGCAGGGGATGTAGAGGAGCAGCGACAACGCAGTGCAGGACGTGCGGGGCAGCGGGGGGGCGAGCGGGGCAGAGGAGGGGCGAGCGGGGCAGCGGGGGGGCGAGCGGGGCAGAGGGGGGGCGAGCGGGGCAGAGGGGGGGCGAGCGGGGCAGAGGGGGGGCGAGCGGGGCAGAGGGGGGGCGAGCGGGGCAGAGGGGGGGCGAGCGGGGCAGAGGGGGGGCGAGCGGGGCAGAGGGGGGGCGAGCGGGGTAGTTCAGAGAGGCAAGCGGCGGAGCAAGTGGAGCGGCTTACATGTCAACGCCGTCCAGCTCCAACGCCTTCCGTGCTCCGATGGCCGTCTGCTCGCCCACACGCACCACACCGCACACCACCACACCGCACACAGACAGCCACAAACACGGTTGTACCACACACACACAGCCGCAGCAAACAAGGACAGGAAGAGAGGAAGAGGGTGAGTTGAGGGCAGCAACACAGTCGACAGCGAGAGAACTGCGTGGGGAGACAGCTTGAGCTCCCAACCGATGTGGGGCCGGAGAGGGCAAGGCCAGAGAGGGGCGCGGGAGGAATGGGGCCGCGGGAAAAAAAGGTAGCCTCAGCGCGCGTACCTTGAAAGTGACGAGCGCGATGCCTCGGAAGCGGCCCGAGTCGGGGAAGTGAAGGCGGTGGATGAGCGCGATGCGGCCGCACCCCTCGAAGCACTCGTGGATGGCGTCGTCTGTCGCGTAGTACGGCAGCCCGCCCACGTACACCCGCTTCTCCTCGTACTGCTCGCCATGCTGCTGCTGCGCGTCCTGCTGCTGCGCGCCCTGCTGCTGCTGCTGCTCTCGCTCTTGCTGCTGTTGTTGGGGCTGCTGCTTCTCGCGCTGGTGCTGCTCCGGAAGCACCTGCTTCATCTCCTCCTCTTCCTCATCCTCTTCGCCCTCCTCTCCCTCCTCCTCCTCACCCTCCTCCTCTTCTTCACCCTCCTCCCCTTCTTCACCCTCCTCCTCTTCTTCACCCTCCTCCTCCTCCTCTTCCTCCTCTCCCTCCTCTTCCTCCTCCCCCTCCTCATCGTCATCCCCATCGCCACTACTCCCAGACGTACCGTCGCCGCCACTACCGCTCTCCTCCTCACTCTCCTCCCCACTTTCCGCATCCCCATCGCTATCACTCTCCCTCCCTCTCTTTTCCGCCCTGCCCTTTCCCCCTTTCATCCCCGCCCCGCCTCCCCCCATGCCCCCTGCCCCGCACGTCCGTACCCTCCACCTTACAACCCCCAACCCCCGCTCCCCGGCCCCGCTGGCCCCCATTCCGCGCTCCTCTGCGGCGCTAACCAGCGCTCGTGCCGCGAATGCGACCTCCATGCCGTGCGACGCTTCTTGCGACGTAATGACGGCTGGACACGTGGCTGCGGGCGCAGGGCAAGCGGCGGCGATGGAGCATGTGCGAGCGAACGCAGCGAGAAGGTCGCTCACCGCGCCACAAGGGGGAATTCCTGCCCCCCGCTCCTCAATTCCCGCCTCCGGCCTGCCTGTAGTCGCAGCCTCGTCGCCCATCGACTCTTGCTCCGCGAAGGATAGTCGCCGTCGCACCGGCGCCCAGTCGTCGTGCGCGACCGTTGCACACCAGTCGCCATCGTTGTCCGATTCCTCGCCGTCCGACGCCCAGCCCGAGCTGCGCACGCTCCTGATGCGACTGCGACAGGCGACGCGCGACAGGGTTCCGCCGAACGCAGAGCCTGTGGGCGCAGACGCCGCCCTCATCGTCGCAGCGAGAGGCATCTTCCACGCGTGCGACTCCTCGTCGTCGTCGTCGTCGTCGCTTCCCTCGTCCGCGTCTTGACGCGGATCCACGAGCGCTCGGCGCGCTACAACGTCAATTGGACGAGAATCGTCTTGTTGGTCGGGCCAAGCGCTATCCAAACGGATTTGCCGCACTTCGGCACGGCCTCCTTGCGACAGTTCCATCTCGTCGCCTGACCTATCGCAGGTGGCCGCCTCATCGCGGAGAGCAACGCACGCGGACGCTAATCGACTGAGCGAAATCCTATCATTTGTGTCGCAGTGTGCAGTGTTGACGGATCGAACACCGAAAACACGTCGCTGATCCTCAACTATTGTCTGGCCGGTAGCACCGACGTCTAAACCTTGGGCCTCGGGGGGCGTGCTGCAGTCACCCAGCGTCCAATCATCGTCCTCCAGCTCCACGTCTTCGCAGCTTCTCGCGAGAAGCAGCGGCGATCGCGGCAAGGTGGGCGGCGAGTTCCGGAATCGTTTATTCACCAAGATACGAGGGGGATCTTGGCAAACGGTGTTTAGTAAAGACATATTATTGCCGAGATAAGATGCCATTAGCTGGGAACTGACAGGAGGCGGCCATTGAACATCCGCCTCCACCATCACGTTTTCCTTCCCGTCGAATTGAGCAAGATTCTGGAAGCCCAACCCTCGAGACTCGAAGTGCATCATACTCACGATCTGCGGACGAGCAGTAAAGCTCGAGACTCTGAGATACTAAATATGCCCACTGGCCACAATGACAAAACCCTATCTGATCAAAGCGGGAATAACTGGGAGCACAGTGGGCTGAATGCAGATGGCTAGAAGCACAGGGGTATAACGAGTTCTCGAGGAGAAGTGGGAGCTCTCGAGGAGCTCGCTATGTGAGTTTCCAAGGAACTCTGTTGGAGTTATCTCGAGGAGAGGAGAAACCTAGAAAAGCTCACAAGGGGTTGCCAAGGGGATTGCGAAGAGGTTCTTTTGGGAGAAGGCGACGCAGAATTTGGATCAACGTTTGTCCGAACCAGTTTTTGCAGCCTCGTTTGGGAATTGCCGAACCTGCTCGGCAAATATTTTAATTCGCGCAGCCAACGACAGTTGCCCCATCGCCCTTCGCAAAACCCTCCACACCACAGCGCTGTCGTCGTTCAGCCCGCCCTCCACGAGCTGCGCTGACTTGAAATTCAGGGATGCGAGACGCACAATGAGCCGATGGGAATTTTTTCACCGTCCGATCAAACGTGGAACAAGACCGAAGCAGTGAGGCAGGCATGAAAGGCGGGAGAACCTGCATCCAAAATTTGCGCAGGCGCCCTAGCTGCGAAACGGGGGAGTTATTACTGACGATTTCAGGTGTAAAAAATCGCGGTGTTTATATTAAAGTTTCAACCCATATCATTTGAAAACCTTGATGTGGCCGTGTAGTAAGGTTTGTTAGCCTTTAGAGTTGAGCTCCCTTGTGATCCATGCAAGCCGCTTTTGACATCAGAACTTGAGCGTTTATACGATTCTGCTCTATTTTGCATTAGTCAAGCATCAACTCGTGGATTTAAATAAGGCATCGCACGTTTATCATGGTCTCTACACGATGCTCAACGTAACCTTCTCTATCATGAATACATTCAATGAGGTAGTCTTTGATGTTATAACCAGGAATCGTAGTGGATAGGATAAGGTTGCCAAGTGTAAGGGAGAGAACTATGAAGTCTCTGATATGACCTTGTTAATAAGTTTTGAAAGAGAACAAGCTGATTATAAGATGAGAGTACAAGAGTATAAATAGCAAGCCTAGCTAGCCATGTACTCTGAGGGGTACATTCCCTTATTAACTGAATTGCATTGCTACAGTAACCCACGACTATTGCTATTCTACACAGTTACCATGTTGCATTTCGTAACTGCCTTGTGCGGTTACTGGGCAGTCAAGGGTCACGACCGTTGACTGTCTTCGACTGTTGACCTTCGGGTGACCCTCGATCTTCCGCGTGCCCTATATGAGCTCATGCGGTACTGGTACAGGCGTCTGCTTCGCTATGGAGAGACGCGATGGTGGAGAGTCTTCGGGAATGCTAGTGATAACCTTTCGGTTATTCCAACACTTCCCTTCATTCCTGAAGGTGAGCCACGTGGGATTTCTTGGTGATCCCGCAAAGGTTGGCGCAGTGCTGGAACTGTTGACGTGGCAGCTTCTTTGTCAGAAAATCGGCTGCCATGTCACCAGTTGGGCAGTACGTGAGCTTGACTTTGCCCTTGTCGATTTCGTCCTTGACGAAGAAGTAGCGAAGGGCGATGTGTTTCGTGCGATTCACGAAGCCGGGTTTGTTTGCGATCTTGATCGCACTCTGGTTGTCGCAGAGTAACGTGAAGTGCCCGTTCATCGTTAATTTCGCTTCCTGCAGGAGCTCCATCAGGTACAGTCCTTCGCGAACAGCTGCGCTGGCGGCGATGAATTCTGCTTCGGCTGACGAAAGGGCGATGAGTTCATGCTTCTGAGAGTTCCATGAGATGAGCCCAGCAGGTTGGAGTTGAAAAACAAATCCTGTGCGGGAGCGTCTGTTGTCAACATCTCCCGCGTGATCAGCGTCTACGTAGCCGTGCAGCTGCAGGGTGGCCGTTAAGTTAGCTTCGTAGGTGAGGCCGACGTCGGGAGTAGAGATGAAGTATTGGAGTGCGCGGCGCAGATCCTGCAGATTCTCCCCTTCAGGTCGCTTCATGTACTGAGCGAGCTGGCTTGCGACGTATGAGAGATCGGGCCGGCACGTGACGGCGGCAAAGAGAAGGCACCCGAGCTGCTGCTGATAGAGCCGATGATCCTCAAGAGAGAGGGGCGAGGTGTCGGCTTCGTGGTTAGGAGAAGGAGTGCGAAACGGGGTGGAGAGGTTGATTGGTGCGATGCCGAACTTCTTCGCGAGTGTCTCGGCGTACTTGGCGGCGGAGAGGTGAATGGAGGAGGCAGACTGGGTGATGTTCAGTCCGAGAAATTGTGTGACGTCGTGATTGATGGTGACTTCCAGCTGCTCCTTGATGTCAGCTTCGAACTGATCCAGTAGCTCCGTGTCGTCACCGGTGTAGAGGAGGTCGTCGACGTAGGCGACGAGGAGGATGAACTTGCCGCGCGACTCCTTCCTGTACATCCCGAGGTCGTGAGGTAGCTGTTGGAAGCCGAGTTTTGTTAGCACCGTGTGGAGATACTGCTGCCATAGGCGAGGTGCTTGCTTGATCCCGTAAAGGGATTTCTGGAGCAGGCAGACGGCGCCGTCGTTCTCTTCGAAGGCGTGCGGCTGCTCGACGAAGATGATTGCGTCGACCGGAGCGTACAAGAATGCGCTGCCGACGTCGATTTGACGGAGTGGGCGCTGCTTGACGGCTGCGATGCAGATGAGGATTCGCACAGAGGTGTGCCGTCCGACTGGTGCGTAGGTGAGGTCAAAGTCCACCATGTGTGTTTGCTCGAAGCCGCGTACCACCCAACGTGCTTTGTATTTGTCAATGGAGCCGTCCGCCAGTGTCTTGATGCGGAACACCCATTTTCCGCTGAGAATTTTCCTCCCCTTCGCAGATGTCCGGGGAACAAGCTGTCAGAACATTATAGCTTATGCTGTTGTGTAGGCTATAGTGGGGTATCCCATAGGGGGTACAACCAATTAGGGTTTCATATTTGTACTCACTTCATTTCATAGTTCATTCATTCTTGTTCAAATATTCTCATGGTATCGAGCAGGTTCCCCCTTGGGAACTGTGCTTAGGGCCCACCACATCGATTTTTTTTTCCTGCCCGAAGCGCGCTCAGCCCGAGTCGCGCTTCGGGCCCTCACTTCGTCGAGCCGCCCTAGCGGCCCTGCACTGCGGCCCCGCCGCCCGTCTCCGCGGCCCCGCCGCCCGTCTTCGCGGCCCCGCCGCCTCTCTCCTAGCGGCTCCGCCGCCCTACCTAGCGGCCCCGCCGCCCTACCTCGCGGCCTCGCCGCCCCATTGCGCGGCCCCGCCGCCCTACCTAGCGGCCCCGCCGCCCCATCGCGGCCCCGCCGCCCCATCGCGCGGCCCCGCCGCCCCATCGCGCGGCCCCGCCGCCCCATCGCACGGCCCCGCCGCCCTTCCTCGCGGCCCCGCCACCCCATCGCGCGGCCCCGCCGCCCCATCGCGCGGCCCCGCCGCCCCATCGCGCGGCCCCGCCGCCCTACCTAGCGGCCCCGCCGCCCTTCCTCGCGGCCCCGCCACCTTACCTGCGGCCCTGCCCTTACCTGCGGCCCCGCCGCCCTCTCCTGCGGCCCCGCCACCTTACCTGCGGCCCCGCCACCTTACCTGCGGCCCCGCCACCTTATCTGCGGCCCCGCCGCCCTCTGCTGCGGCCCCGCCACCCTATCTGCGGCCCCGCCACCCTACCCGCGGCCACGCCGCCCTTACCAGCGGCCCCGCCGCCCTTACCTACGGCCCCGTGCCCTGCAGCAGCACAGCCGAGCCGCCGAGCCGCCCAGCAGCCGAGCCGCCCAGCAGCCGAGCCGCCGAGCCGCCGAGCAGCCGAGCCGCCCAGCAGCCGAGCCGCCCAGCGGCCGCGCCGCCCAGCAGCCGAGCAGCCCAGCAGCCGAGCCGCCCAGCAGCTGAGCCGCCGAGCCGCCGGGCCGCCCAGCAGCTGAGCCGCCGAGCAGCCGCGCCGCCCTCCTTCAGGGCCGCCCGACCTGCCCAGTCTGGTGAGCACAGCGCCTTTTCACTGCACTGTCCTCACCCCACTGTTTGCGCTGCTAGTCGTCTAGGGTCATGGCTACCCCTAGTGTTCTCGCCTTTGACGCTGAGGGTAGGGCCATTGACTTTGAGGTCTGGGTAGATGACCTGCAGCTGTTCTTACAGTGCGATAGGGCAGACGGCCTCTCTCTCTTTGACCTCACCTCTGGCACCTCCACTGCCCCTGCTGCTGATGCTGACGCCACTGTTCGCTCCCAGTGGGCCACGCGCGACGCTGCTGCACGTCTTGCTGTGCGTCGCCACCTCCC